CTGTAGATAAATCTGATACCATATCCTTCACACAAACATCCCAGTTCTAAAGCCAGTAGCTTTCACATAAAACAGGAGCACTAAGGGACATGGCCATATGCAATATCTCAAAAAGCTTAAAGGAAACTGAGAATTAATTACATCTCACTTACACCTGATTTACCACACAGACTCTGATTCTCCTTACCATGCCCCTTCTCATCCTCTCCCTCAACAGTATGAACTCACTATTGTTAGTCCTTACTGATAGGCTGAAGAAAAAGACAGTTGTAAAATACTTTTTTTTTAATTATTTTTTTTAGAATATGTACTATTCCTGAGGCTGTGAAATGCCTCTCTGAAATCAGCATGCTCATAAATGGGTCATTAGCTGGGACAGCCAAATGCGTTTTACTCAGGATTAGCACATCACCACATCACAAAGTACCTGTATGAAATCCCTTTTTACATCCTTGCCTTCTAAACAGGTTGCACAGTACTTGACAACTCCTGTAACTTGATCATTTGCCAAAATGCTAATTTCTGCAGCTGAGGGGATACTACTTGCATGATTCAGGAATAAACAGACCAGAAGGGCCTTGAAATAAGTACATTGTACTTTGAATAGGGTTTAGTTTTTATTCAATTGTGAAATAATTAGTCACTGAAAGAGGTCCAGTATTTATGTAGCTAAGTTTCCTCATACCTTTCATGTGAATGAAGGCTACTGTTACTGGACTCCAGATGTGAAATAAATTGCTCTGAGCTTGCTCTTCTGGCATTTGAAGAGTTTTTGTAAAATGATACTTTACCTATTTAGGTCAACTTTGATGGCCTCCTCGTACATTTCCATCAGAAACAGAAGTCCATTTTCTGCTGTCCACTTATGATTTTAACAAAATATTAGTCAGTCCAAGAGTAAGAAGAGGTCATGGAGACAAAAGTGCAGAGTGCTAATTCTAAATGTTTCTTCCTTGCAATAAAAGCATATATATATATATACACACATATATCAAGAATGTAGGAACAAGACCTTTCTCATAGAAAGAAGCCACTTTCACTAAACTTCTTATACAGACTGGTTGGGGTTTTTTGGCTCTTTGGTTTAGTTTGTCAATTGAACATGCAAGTTTATAGCTGCAGCACCACTACAGTGCCAACCTGTCAGCTAAACTGTATCTTATGAACCATTTCTGGACCTAGAAAATCATGTCCTCAGGTGGCTTGCTGTAAGATAAGAAGCACCGAGAACTTCCTCATTAAAAATCTCCATTTTCTATAACATTTTATACAAGATTTCCATGGTGCAAAAATCACTCTCTCAAGGGAGGAGTTGCTGTAACAATTTTTTCTTCTGCCTTGCACATCGAAGTAGTTAGACATTTTATATATAAATTAAACTGGAATTCATATACTGTTATTTCTTTGTGAATAAGCTTGTGGTAAGCATAAAATCACATTCATTTGCTAACAAAAAACCCTCCAAGTACCTGCAGTGTTATATACTCTATTCAATCCTACACTTTTGTATTTAGACAGACCAGAAGTGTGCCAAAGAGAACTGATTAAGAAGAAAATATTTACTGTAGATTTTGATAAATTGCACCTTAAATTTATGAGACATAATACTGTATTTAAATTTAACATCATAAACTATATGAAAACATTAATCTAAGTATTGGTAAATTTATACAATATAAAGAAAATATACAGATTGAGTAAATCAGTCTTTTACCTTTGCAGAAACAGTATGAGACAGTCTTTATTTGTGCAGCTTTGCTTATGGGAGGAAAAAGCCTACCAGTTTCCATGACTCACCTATAATCTATGCCTTGTCTTTAGCCAGCTTTTTAAGTCATCCTTTTATGATCACCTTATTAAGTAGTCACCCTGTTAATGATGTATTGTGAAAAGTGTTCCTAATGTGTTATAAATAAATAATTTCTCTCTTTACTCTTGTTTTAGCCTACTGTCTCCTTAAGAGTTCTTTCAGCTATAACAAGAAAATCAAACCCCATCAAATTCAGGATTTATGTTATTGTCTCTAGTGATTTAGCAAGTTTTGGCAAGAATTACTCTCTTCCTCCAATAAAACAGATGCTTAAGAGCAGAGTGCTGAGATTGCAAGAAACCCCTCTAACTACAGATGACCTGGATTTGGAGTATGCTATTATTAAACACACACTAAGCAGGTGATTGTTTACCTATAACTTATTTAACTGCTCACATTCAACTGAGCAGATGTTGATGGTATTGCCATCTACTCATCTACTACATCTACAACCAAGACACCAAAGCATATGCTGAAGATCCTCTTAAGTCCAAGGATTCTTTTCTTGACACAGTATTGCAAGTATGTACTATCTATATATGTGGAAACACCCTGCTTGAGCAACATATCCTCTTTTCCATAAGTCTCTTGGTCTGGAAGATTTGGAGAGTGATAAAGAATCACTGTTAGAAAGGCATCTGCAGATTTTGGCTCTTTACACCGTGTTGTTATGTTCTTGTAGGGGTTTTGGGGCTGCAGAAGCTTATCACAGGATTGGACTCTGCATTTTGAATAGTATTTGTGACTTTAATTTAATTTGACCTGGAGGACCAGGTTACCCACACACCCATCCCTGCTGAAATATCAGGGACTTTTAGTTGACTCTTGACTCTGAACAAAGAAAGCGCTTGCACATAAACATACACAAGTCTGTCAACACACACAGGTCAGCTATATCAGATCAACAAGATCTAAAATTGCATAAAAACCATCGTGACGTATGCAATTCACTTGTTCTTTCGTATTCTTTGATATGAACAGAAACTGACCAGTGGTGCATGGGCAGGCAGGAGGCAGCCAGTGGACTCCCATGCTGGGACACCACGGAATCTGTGCCCTCATCCTGCCATCACCATGCAAACCCCTTCTGCATCACTTGCCTCTCACAGGGTCACAGTCTTCAAGGTGCTCGGTGACCCATGAGAACAGGTAGCCTGGTGACCTGCCCCAGAGCCATGGGAACCCTTAGCCCCATCTCAGGGTACTGCGCCTAGCTGGAGACCTCCAGTGAAGGTGGGGACTTCCTGGGGACAAGGACCTCTGGGTGCTGGTATAGGATCCTGTGAGGTCAGGGACCTCCAGACTCTCAGGGGACATGCAATTTGAGGGTGATGGGCAGGCGACATCCCCACACTGAGGCGGCCCTGTTCCCAGCTCCATGGCCCTCTACTCCCCACAAATGAACCTGCTGTATCAGGGTCAGGGCCAGGGTGTTAGAATCACTTACAAGTTTCTCACCAGAGGAGAGGTGACTTATTTAAAATTTGAGCTGGAAATCCTGGTTATGTCAAAGCAGATCTTAGGCACAGCTGCCTTCCCACTGCATGTCACCAGTGGCAGAGGGACTAGTGGGAGCTCTGGGACTGAATGTAGTGGAAGCACTAGGATGGGGGAGCTGGGCTGGGCGTGCTAGGTAGGACACGCATGTTGGCAGCCTGGGAGGGCATCCTCATTGCATGTTCTCAGTGGGCACTGGTAGCACTGAGATGTGCTATACTGGGAGTCCTAGTGTAGGAGTACTGGCAGCACTGGGCTGAGGGTACCGGGACCACTGGAATGGGCCATACTGGAATGAGAGGCACTGGGGGCAATAGGAGCAGTGTGTTTTGGGGTGTGGTTTGGAGGCTGGATGTGCTAGGGCAGGCATGCTGGGGGAGTATTTGTGGTCCATGGTGGATATTTGTGGGCCATGAACTGGTTTTGGGGACTATTTTGGGGGCCTAAGGACCATGGGGCAAAGGCTGCCCCACAGAGTGGCCTTCCCCCTCCATGTCTGAGCAGTGGAGGTGAAGGAGGTTTTGGAGTTCGATGTGATGTTGGAATGGGAGTCCCCTCAGGATAACAGCAACTCCAAGGGCACACACTACACTGTGCAGAAGGTGATGGGGAAACCCCCAGCCACTGCCCCCCAGCTGCCTCCCCTCAGAACCCCCAAATGATGCTTGGGTCCTCTTCTGGTTGTGAGGGGACAGCCTGGATGCCAGTGCTCCACTTCTGTCCTTGGGGGGAACCCCAGACACGTGGGTCTCCTCCTGGTTGTGAAGGGCTGCCCAGACATCTGTATTGCATCCTGGTCCAGAGGGGCTATCTGGGTATCTGGGTCCTATCCAGAGGCATCTGGGTCCTATCCGGAGGTCATCTCAGGGAGAGCACACCAAAATCTGGGTCTCTTTGGGGAGATGCCCAGATGCATGTCTCCTCCTGGCTGTGGTGGGCACCCCAAACACCTGGAAGTTTTGTGTTTTGGGGTGCCAGCTGTGCTCTGTCTCGGAGAGCCGAAAGAGGGAGCCAAGTGTGGACAAAACCACCTCTCTTTGCTGCCCCGACATCCAGCCTCCTGGGTCCTTCCAGGATTTTGGGACTGACCAGAGGGTCCCTAACTCAAGCCATGTGTCCATGTGTGTGTGTGTCCTTCCACTGAAGCCCTTGAGTTCCAGCATGACCCTTGCTTGGCCCCATGGCTCGAAGCACCGCGGCAGCTGAATCGCTGCCCTCAGCTGTGCTGTACCGCGGCAGCCCAAGCGGGGGTGACACCTGAGGGCACGGAGGGTGCTGGGGTACCCCCAGTGCTGTCCTCCCACCCAAGGTGGAATGCAGATGGAGATCAAGGGGAGCAAGGGAATTTTGGGGTTCCTAATCACGTGTTCCCCCAATCCAAGTGGCTGAAGAAAAAGGGGGCCATCAGGGAGGCCAGAGGTCCCTGGCCCACCACAGCTGCAAACATGGGACTCGGTGATCTGTAAGCAGTCCCTTCCAAGCCGGCCTCTCCATGACTCCGCCGCAGCCGGCTGCCAGGGCCAGGCGTTACCTGGCAACAAGCGACACCACAAACACAGGCACGTGCCACCGGGGCTCGGGAAGGCAGAGGAAGAGGAGGAAGGAGGCTGCTGGCTGCCCACATTCCTAGCTGCAGCTTCCTTCCGAGCACGGAGGAAGGACAGGTGCTGTGTTTTCGGGCAGGGCAGCAGCCATGGTCTCTGTCAGCCTGTTACAGCTGCTGGATGACGCCATCGGGCAGCCCGAAGTCAATGTCAACTTGGAGGCGCTCCGCAGACTGCTGAAGGTCATAGTGGACCACCTGAGCCTGCTGGGTCTGCAGGAGGTGATCCCCGAGGAAGGGGCCCAGGAAGCCGCGGTCGCCCCGGGGCAGAGCCCCGGCCCGCAGCAGGAGGCGGGGGCGTGGGAGGCGGGACAGCCCTCCCAGCCGCCGGATGAGCTGCAGGAGACCAGGAGCGGCTCTCCTGTCACCTCGGTGGCTGCCGACATGGGACAGATGGAGAAGACTGAAGCCAAAGAGAGTGGCATCTCCAAGGTAGAGGCTTTTCCCAACCCGCTTCGGTGCTCCCCCCAGGACGCCCCCTCCTCTGGGGTCTGTGCCCTTATACGAAGGTTTGCTTGAAGCCCAAGCTCCGAGCAGCATGTTGACTTTCTGTGAAGGGAAGAACATCAGGGGGGGGGGAAGATTTGGAGAGGAAATCTGGGGCTGAAACACAGCTCTGGGAGCTTTAGGGCCTTCCCATGTTGGGTCTTTTCCTGCTGACCCAGGGCTCCCCCAGAACAGGAGTGGGAGTCTCTGGGGAGCTGCTTGCCTGGGGCTCAGCCCCACCACCTGTCTCTCCTAAGCCACTGCTCTCTCCCAGGAGACCCACAGGGAAATGGCTGGGATTAAGACTATGCAGCTCAACATGGGAAAGGAAATCCAGAGGATCAAGGAGTCACTTGGCCAGGTGAGCTGCCAGCATCAGCATGTTGCAGGTGTGAGACAGCAGCCAGTGACCTCCCTGTGCACTGGAGGTTCAGCTGCAGCCAGCCATGCCAGATGAATGGAGAGTGCAACCCACAGTGCCCAGCTATCTGGCTGTGCTCCACAGACCATGGTGCAGGCAAAGGTCCTGCAGGTCACCAGCAACCCTCCCCTGAGGTTCATCCCCCCTACCCTCCTCTCCTAGACCACAGATCTCTGCAAGGATCTCTGTAAGGAGATCAATGAGATGAAAGCCACACAGTCCCGCATGGGAGAAGGCATCCGGGTGATCCAGGAAGCACTTGGCCAGGTGAGCTGCTGCCTTTGGGAGGGAATTGGGCCCTCCCCACCTCCGTGCCTCTCAAGACCTTGCCCTGCCACCCTTGCCTTGTGTCCATGGGTGTCACCCACTGTGAAGGTCACTGGGATAGAAGAGTGGGAAGGGTGTCCTGTGAGGGAAGTGTGGAAACTGAGCCTTGCCCACTAGGAGGCCCCCACCTCTGCCTGCAGATCAACCTGGTAGTAGATGTCACTGCCTGCCTCAGCCACAGGGTTGCTGAGGCACTTTGAACTAAGCAGCCCTGAAAAAAGGGAAAATGGGGAAGGAAAGAAGGTAAAGATCTACCAGTGCTTGGCAGCCACAGCCCACCCAGAGTCTCTCTGGCTTGGGTGCAAACTCAGTTGTGGATGCTCCTGGGTCTTGACTGCAATCCATCTTCTCACTCCACTCCAGGGGAACCTCCAGGATGCTGCTGGCCAGCCACTGGTCTTCCACGACCAGCCTGCCCCTGCCAAGCCCCACACTTCGGACATGGACAAGCTAGGGCAGAGCCCAGGTACCCAGAGCACCACCCCTGGGATGCAGACAAGGACCCCCAGTGCCCAAAGTGGCAACACTGGGACACAGCTTGGTTTGCAAGCAGGCCTTCCAGCTATGGAGAGCATCCTCAGAGACCTATCTGAGCTCCAGAGCCAGATGTCCTCCCTGCAGAACCTGGTCCGAGACCTGCAGGGTGAGAAGGAGAAGGTAAGCTAATAGCAGTCCCTAAGGGGGCTGCAAGGATGCCAGGGAGAGCTGGTAGAGAGGAGGCAGGCAAAGGAGACCATGGGGTCCATACCCTGACTCTGCCACTACCACCTTCCCAGATCAGACAGCTGCAGGATGCCCTTGGAAAGCTGGGTGTGACTGTACCTGAGCGCAGAGTGGATGGCACCAACGAGATCCCCCTACAGCTGGAGTAAGAGGATGGGGAGAGGATTTCATATCCTACGGGCTGCAGGGGAACCGGGAGGTATGGGGGGTGGCAATCCAGGAGCATTGGGTTTGGGGAGCAAAGCTCACCTCCCAGATGGCCTTGTGGAGGCTCAGCCTGCCTGTGCCCTCATCTTGTTGGTTAGGCCTGCACTGCTGGAGATTAAACAGGAGCAGAAGGAGCTGAGAGAGGAGCAGAATATTACCAAGACCACACTGAAGCAGCTGGTCACAGCTGACCAGCTTCAGGAGCAGGTGAGGTTTGGAGGCCGTCTGGGCACCAGGTTCTGCTGGCAGCATCCATTCTATCTCAAAATCTATTCCTTCTCCCCTTTCTGCAGCTGAATGAGTTGAGGGCAGTGATGGGGACTGCGAAGCAGCAGCCGGGAGAGTCACACTCAGACAACAAGCTTGTGAGGAAGCTCCTGCACCGCTGTGAAAGGCTCCAGCAGCAGGTGGACTGCCTGGTGCCACAGCAGGTGCACAGGTCACTGCCAGAGAAGACCCAGGTGGGCAGCTGGCAACATAGAGCGGGGGCTTGGGAGGCTGTATCAGGACCCTCTGTCTGTGCTCACTGTAATGTAGAGCAGCCCCTTGCTAACCCCCCAGTTTGGATGGGTTGGCAGTATGGCAGGAAATTAAAGCCTTGATACAAATGTCCGGCTGGCACTGAGTGCTCATGGCCAAGTAGCCCAGATCTGTCCTTGAGGGTAGCCAGATACTCCTTGCATGACACCATCTTGTCATCTTTCTCCCTGGAGCAGGAAGAGGAGCTGCTAAAGAGCATCCAGGCCACTGTTGTGCGGGTGGAAGGGGACTGCGAGCAGCTCGGCTATGTCACCGGGAGCCTCCGGGATGACCATCGCCAGCATCAGAAAGATATCGAGGTTGGTGGCTGGACCCCCACAGGGTCAAAGTATCCCCCAGGCACATCAAGGCTGGTCTGATCACACAGAGGTCTGATGCCCTGCCCACCTGCTTGCAAGCCCTTTGTTGGTTCAAATGGCCTTTCCCAAAGAGCACTTGGCTGGCCAGAACACAGCTCTGACCCTGCTGTGGTGTCATGAGATGCTTTCTGTATTGAAAGGCTCTGTTCCGGTCCCTGGAGGGTCTCGAGAAGAAAGCAGACAAGGAGGACCTGCTGCTGCTGGTATGGTCTTGAGAGGTCCATCTTCAGCCCAAGCGATCTCGGGCAGGGTGACAAATGCCCTCTGCCCTCTGGGTGCGCAGTGGCAAAATTGGCCTGGATGGGGAAGGGGGAGGGTGTGAGTACTTCCAGACTGGCTGCAGATCCCTTGCCAGGTCCCTCTGTCTCCCTCTTTAAGTCCCTTTGACTCCCTGGGGGTGATGGGTAAGCAGGCCACACAGCCCTGAAAAGGGCACGATGGCCCCCCAGGAACATTTCTGCCTCTACCCCCAACACATGCTGGCCCTGCCTCTTGTACCTCTGCCCTGTCCCCACCGCTCTCCTGCCTTTCCTCCCTGCTAGAAAGTGGACAAAGCTGCCCTGGGCAGCAAAGTCAGTTGTGCCCATTTTGATGAAAGCATGGAGCGTCTGGAGGAGAGGATGCGGGAGTTGCTGAGACGGGTGATGGGTCAGGAGCAGCGCTGGCAGGAGGCCCAGCAGCAGTTCCGTGATGTCCTGGACTCCAAGGTGAGGGATGCCTTATGCTCACGGTACAAAACTGGCTCCTTGGGGGCTTTGCAGCCCAAGGCAGCCTCCCTCTGAGGTTTCCCCTTCTGCTGGCTTTTCCCTGTGGACTACCATGTTCCATCCTGGAGCAGCTGGTTAAGGGTGTGCGTCTGTCCACAGCTGGATCGCCTGGAGCTTGGGCCTTTCCAGAAGCAGCTAGAGGATACCTGGGCAAAGACCATTAAGGATCTCAAGGATGAGTTGACAGTAGAGATTGACGACGCTGCTGGAATTAAGCAGTGAGTGCAGTGGGATGGTACTGGCTCTAGCAACAGCACTGGCCTCATTCTTTCCTGTATGGTACCCTGGCATCAGAACAATGTAGCCAACAAACTCCAGGAATGCTGACAAAGCAGCTACACCTTCTTCACCCATCAAAGCTCCCCGCATCAAAGGAGGCACAAGAATGGGCATCTGCAAAACAGAGCTGTCCAAACCAGAACTGGGTGTAGGTGCAGAGGTTCAAGGATGGAGAACAGAAGGTTGTTTGCCTGGGCAGGGGTGCAGCACATGGTGCCACAAGCCTCAGTCATGACCTGCTCACCTTGGCAAGATGCAGGGGAGTTGTGAGCGCTGACAAGGCGATGACACCAGGGCAAGGGCTTGTTTGGATAGTGGTGTGGGTGCCTGCACCCTTCCCCTGATATTCCTGCCTGCTCTGGTCAGCTATGGGCCACAGCCACTGTTCAGCAGTTCCAGTGCTGCCAAGGCACACTTATCTCCTTGTCCCCTTGCGTGGGAAGAAAACCAGGCTCAACATTTTCACAGCTCCCCCTGCAAACATGGAGGCTCCCTGCAGCAATGTGCCTGGCACCTATTGCTGCCTGTGAGCTGCTGTCTGTGTGCACTGCAGTCCTGTCAGGAGCTCACCCAGCCCTTTCTCCCTTAGGCAGCTGCTGGTCCCATTCAAGTGCCTGTCCTGCGACCGGCAGTTCAACATGCAGGTGCCTGGCGCGTGAGTAGCACCCGGCACCGGTATACTGGGGGGCTGTGTGGGTGGGACAGGGGATGGGTGCTGTCTCAGGCACTGGGGTTAGGCTCTCCTGAGGGGTCTGGAGGGTCTGATTCTGCTGAGCCACCTCTGAAGCCATGTCTTCATGTGGAGTGTTCCCTCCACAAACACCTCCCTAAGGGCAGCAGGTAGAGGGGTGCTGTGGGGTACAAGCCTATGGGTTTTGGTGAGCTGCCCCAAGCTGGGGTGGCCCATTTGTCCCTTGTCACCCACCCACAGCCCCTTCCCTGCCCAGGCACATTGACACACTGCCGCTCCTTCCACCGCTGCCTGGCAGCCACGCTGCACACCCCTCTACCATCACCACAGAGGAGCAAACACAACAGCATGGTCACAGGTAGGGGACATGGGGGCCCATCTGGAATGCTGGGATAGTCCTGCCTTGGCAAGGGAGATCTCTGTCCTGAATAGGGGGCAGAGGGGGCCAGGGGGCCTGGGCAGGGTAGGGGAGCAGAGGGAGCCATGGAGGGTGAGCTGTACTTGCCGCAGGTGTCTGGGCTTTTAAAGCCCCTACTGCACTGCTCAAGCCCTGGTCTCAGTGGCACTGAAGCCACATATTGTCAGTTGTATCTGGTCTCAGCCTGACCTCAGGCCTGGTGGGGACTCAGCACAGTGGGACAGGCATGGGTTTCCTGCAGCAGTTGTAGGGGAGTCAGCAGGGACGTGCGTTAGTAGGGAGCACCCTCTGCCCCCGTCTCTGGCACAGTGGGATGAAGCCCAGGGTACCACAGTGCTGGACAATGAGCATCTCCATGCCCCATCCCTCAGGAAGCTGGTCAATAGCAAGTTCCTCAAGTCACAGAGCAGCAAGGGTCAGGACACATCTAGTGCACTGCTCAAGGGTATTCTACACCTCTCCAAAAAGGTAAGGATGGTGAAGGGAAGAACATCAGGGAGGAACAAGGCTGGGAGAGAGATGCAGAGCATCTCAAAGCCATCTCAGTTTCCTCAAGGAGAGATGGGTGGGGAGTGTTGCTTGGGAATGCTGAATTGAGCCCCACATTGCAGCCAGCCATTTTCTCCTTCCCAGCCTGGCGTGACTGAGCTGCTGGGCACAGATTGCTCCATGGATCAAGGCCAGGAGCACAGGCCTGAGGTGGCAAAGAGGGCACAGGATAAGCTGGGTATGGCCTGTCAGGACACCAGTGCTAGGGGGAGAGAGCACCAGCTATTTGCTGGTGCTGGGTGAGCAGAGCTCTGTCTGCACACCTGGGCAGGTGCAGGGAGGGTCTGGGGCAGGCTGAGGAGGGGTGGAGGGAGGGTGGAGGGTGGTGACTGGTGGATGGGACAACTGGTCCTTGGGTGTGTTCAAGATGGAGTGCAGCATGGAGATGGCCCTGGCCAGTGTGGGAAAACAGCCCATGTGTTGGAGGGCAGGGGCCAGTACCCCATCCCTGAGGGTCTTTGGCCACGCAGATGCCCCTGGGCTTCAGGGAGCTTATCTCTGTCCTTCATCTCCAGACCTCATCACCTTAGAGCACCAGCCAGCTTCAGAACTCAAACACTGATCCCGGGCACTGTAGTATTTGCTGCAAATCCAGTCCCTCTGGATAGAACCAGCAGCCAGGCAGCTAGATGTGACTGGATGCTTGGAGCCCTGCATGAAGAAAAGACCGGGACAGCTACCCAAAGGGATTTATTTTCAAGTTAATAAAAAAAATTTAACCTGCTGTGTTTGAGATATTCTAAGCAAGACTGATTTCAAAAGTAACCCCTCGCTTCAGAGCTGCCACCCTAACCCTGGACAGGTGCCACAGGGAAGGGTGAACTTTTGGCGGAGACAGGAACAGCAGAGCTTGGGGTGAGGCCCCAGACTGGGTCATGTGGGCATATGGGGGGTGTCCCTGAGCCAGGTGGAGGGGCTGGTGTTGCCCCAACCCATGGGCTGTGGAGGTGCAAAAGGTGTAGTCCCTGGTCTGTCCCCCTACGCATGCTGCTGGTGCCCCTGAACTGAGCTTTGGCGAGGCTGCAGCAGCGCCACACATCTAGGGGGAGCTTGAGATGAGCCCGAGCAGCACTGCTCCCTCTCCCGCATCAGGCTCAGGGCAGGGTTTAATATCATCAACATCACCATCATCCATGATTTACACTCTGGGTGAGGAGTGAGCTGGAGCACCTCCTCGTGGCCTGGAAACCAGAGTGTGCCTTCCTGACTCTCCTCCCAGGACACTGCATTCACAGCATTAACTTGCTCTTTACAGTGGGCTTGGACCTGCTTTGAACTATCAGTGTCCTCCTGCTTCTTGGCACCATTATTTTATGGCCAGTCACATCAATCACTGCTGGTCAAACAAAAGTGCCAGTATAAAGAAGGTTCATTCTTCCCCTGGGCTGACTGTTGAGTGCAGACATGAGTGGTGAACTCTGGCCCCAATACAGCAAAAGTGTGCAGGGGAGCAGCGCGTGATGGAGCTGCTACGGGCCCACCTCAGCATGGGTACATCACCCACCCCTGACCTGCAATACTGCATGTCATCTGCGTGCCTCAGAGCTCCCTGACCTCCCTGGGTCCCCAGCAGTCCCAGAGGTCCCTTTCCCCCTAAGTCCTCAACCACCCATCCTCGATGTCTTTGTTCTCACAGATCAATTTCTCCCTGAATATCCTCACCTCTGGCTGTCCCCATTCCCTGGAGGGTCCCACCTGGGGCAGCACTGCAGTGTGGCTCAAAACCACCTTGTTTAAGACACCAGTCCCAGGTTATGAGTGACACAATAAATCACTGAGCTCAACCAGTTTAAAGACAAAGTTCAGTTCATACTTTTTTTTTAGTTTGGTGAGTTTTTGTGTGGAGGATTTGGGTGAGCAGCAAAGCACAGCTAGCTCACCATGCTCCAGGGGAAAATTCTCCTTGTGGGAAATTCAGGTCTAAAGCACAGGTCCATACAGAGTGACTATTTTACAGAATAGAAGGCAAAAACTAAAATCTACCCAAAATTCAGATCTCTTTTGCTTAACCCAGTGCTTAGCTGTATTCATGCTGCTGAGGCCCTATAATGCACTACAGTGTTACATCCTATGGTTTACAAAGACCCCTTTTAGCTTAAATAAACCCTCAGATGTGGCTTTTTGGAGAGGATTTTGAGCAATGAAGGGACTTAGAGGGAGAAACATCCTGCTTTGCTTCATTCTGGGGAGAAAAAGCCTCAGAGCAGGAGAAATTATAAAATGGAAAAAATTAAATGAAATGATGACATTTTATCCCAGCAAACTGGGTAAGAAGAGGGTAAAAGGCCCCTGGAGGGGGGAACTGAGCAAAGTGGTGACACATGAAAAACCTAAGCCTCCCCCCCCCCAGCAGCATATAGGTTAATTCTGGAAGGGTTTAGGGATATTTTTGGAGCTGTTTCTTCCCCATGTCCACTGCTAGTGCTGAAAACAACAAGTCTTATTTTCACTTAAAAGGGGGCAGTCTTCTCAAAAACAAAGGGACTTGTTTAAACTCCAACAAAAACAAAGGGGTTGGGGAGCACTTTCTCCTCACGGCAGCAGCACAGAGGTCACCATTTCTTTAACAAGTTCCTCCCTGATTTGGGGATTTCTTCCCTGTAGGCATTGTTTCAAGGTGGAAAATCCCCATCTCCCACTGTGCTAGCTGCTCCCTTGGGGAGAAGGCTCAAAATGGAGCAAACATACCCAAAACCAGATGACATAAATAGGGCAGGAGATCTT